CCCCAAAACCCCAAAACCCCATATAAAGGTGATATTAGATGGAATTAGAATTGATATTAATAAATGGAGTAGACATAAATGAAAACTTGTAGATTTTGCTATGAATCTCAGTACAGCGGTTCCTAAATCATGCTGCTTCCTAATCACTTCGAGACCAAGAACAAATTACTAGCCCCATGCGACTGCAAAGGAACCATCAAATACATTCATAAAAACTGTTTAAAGCAGTGGGCTAAGCGGACACAATAATACATCGTCAGATGCTCAATTTGCTAATAGATCTATGCAAGCAGAGATTAAAAAAGAAACTTTTATCAAATTCTAATTAAGTTACTAAAGGTTATTCTGAAGAAGAGAGAAGTAATCATGAGAGATATATCATTCTTTACTTTAGCTTTCTTACTTCTATTCGGCACATTCTATTATTTATATAAGTATCAGCAAGTTGAGAAAGACTCTCAGGCTTTTAATATAGTGCTAACTTTCTTTGTTTCTAGGATTACAACTCTTGAGATCATTAGAGCTTTGAGAAAACGATTTTCAAAGGTACGCTACTACCTTAATAATATTATCCATAAGAAAGTTTATATCAATAAGGACGAACTATATGATTGTGAGAGCATGGAATAAAGAAATGATTATGACGAAATTTCAAATTTAAATGGTGCTCTATTGTAAAAATGATGGTAATGATTCATAGATAAAGAAGATGATCGTATTGTGAATCAATACCATTTGATATCAAACCGGTTGATTATAATAATTATTTGATTTATATTAAAAATATTAATTTCTTTAAAATGTTAAAAGTCACTATAAGGCCTAATTCAGTAAAACCTTAGCCAGGTAAACGAATTGATCTTGACCCAGAAAAGGAAACCTTTTAGGACTTTAAGGATAAGTGTAGTGAACAACTTGGGATAACTTCTAAGCGAATTTTTAATGTTTAGGGCATGCAGATAAACATGCTCCCAGACCTGATCAATAATGAAATCTACTATGTTACTGAGGTATGTGGCAATTCATCTTATTCACTATTTGTAAATAATAACTATTATCATAGGGTGAATAATATGTTACTCATGCTCCTCAATCCATTTAAGTAAAACAGCAAATAATGTCAAAACAAGTTAATCAAACTCTGCTTGACAAGACAAACTTAATTAGAATAGCTATTCTTGGAGAGAGTAAATCAGGAAAGACGTCTATAGTGTGCCAATACCTTTTTCAAAAATTTAATCCTGATCACTTGCCAACAATAGAAGATATCTACTCGCACAGATCGATGTTTTAAGATGAAGAATATGAATTGTCAATACTTGATACAGCTGGATGCGAAGAATACAAGAACGCAATAAATGATGTGAAGATAAAGGAGAGAGATGCATATGTGATTGTAATTGACTTGGCAAATGAAAATGCTCTCACTGGGATAAATGATTACTACAGAAAAATATATAACTTTCACGCTTAGAGAGAAGTTACAATAATACTTGTTGGCAACTAGACAGAAAAAGAAAGGTCGATAGATTTCCGAAGTGCTGAGAAGTTCGCATAGGATCGAAGATCTCCTTATATAGAGTGCTGTGCAGCATCAGGAGAGAATGTGGAAGAGGTTTTTAATCTTATAATGCTAGAAGTTAAAAAGCAAACTGCTAGAAGAATCGAAATATTTAATCATTATCAAAGTGATAAAGCATGCTGTGGGGAAAGCTGCTCAATTTTCTGAAAAAAAGAAGCTCTCATTGATATTGTCTTTGAAAAACTAGAGAGTAAAAATAAGTATTAATCTTATGATTGATACTTATTGTATCATTTAAATCCTTGCATCTATCATCAATAATTCCTTCAATGTTAATTATTCCTTTAATTTTATTTAATTTTAATTATAAATTTACATGGAAGCATCTCAAAGGACTCATACTCCTAAGATGGCTCACAATCAGCAAATATGGTAACCATAATCAACACTGGATTGTATTTAAGCTTATTAAAGGTTTAACTATGATAACGGAAAGCATTACAGAGTGGAGTCAGATAAGGGGTAATAAGTAAGAATTGAGTAAGATGGCAGTTTCTCAAAAGTTCTAATACCATCAATAACAGGGAAAATGACATTCTAACAAAGATAATAGCTTTCTCAGTCACTTGTAAGTATATATAGTTTTTTATTGAATGCAATGATAGAATCGGGGAGTAGCGCCAAAAATTCCTCCTACCAATAGGTCTCCACAAAAGTTATACTATACACCACAATCGGATAAACTTGAAGGATATTCATAATGTCCAAGACCTGTTGCACTGCCTTATGAAAACGTGATAGATTATAACCTTAGACTTCAGACCTCTTAATACAAACGAATTTAAAAAGATTCTCTCAATGTAATTGGAAGTTTTTAAGATTCAAGAAATCAAAACATTAAAAATCGAGTGCCAACTTAGCAACTAATGTCGCATCTCTCAGGAACCAAAACAGCATTCAAAATTAACATTGAAAATTATCGTGATAAACTTATCAACTCTGTGTCTAAACACATACCAAGTGACACTCCAGAGAAAAAATATAATGTAGAAATTGAAGAATTATTGTCTGAGTCTAAGCCTTTGACTCAAAATACAGGCAAGAGAATTAAAAAAGGATAGGAATAGATTGAGTAACTAAGAAAAAAACTCATGAGCAATTAGAGTGGAAAAAGTATTCATGGTCGAGTTTTATCTTCTCCTCCTGAATAACCAAAGTTTCATGGATCTAATTCAGGATCACCATTAAGAGGTTAAAGTGCATTAGATCAAACTTAAATATCAAATTTCAGGGCAACTTCAGCCACATATCAATTCAGACCTGCAACAACTAATACTGGCTTCAAATCAATCGCTAACAAATCTATAAATATCAGTAGTATAGCTTCGCCTAAATAAACTAACTTTAGCATGAACAATACTAACGCTAAGCAAGATCTAATAAATCAATCTATGGCTGAATAAAGTTCTTATAAGTATGATCCAAACCAATCACTCATTAGTAATTTCTGGCATAAAAAGGCAAGAACTGTCGATGGATTTGAGACTCTTAAAGAAAGGTATCAGGGAACTTTAATTAAGTCATTCCTTGAATAAGCTAGACAGAGATAAAACTTAAATGCTGATGAATAAGGTAAAAGTGTAAATTAAGATTTTGATAAGTTTCGAAATAAATGGGTTGATACTGATGAAAGCTAGAGTTTCACCTTGTATAATCAGACTAAAACTGGAAGAGAGCTTCTCTAGTAAGTAAAATAACAAGAGATAGATTAATCGATTTCACTTCCAAAAAAGGTACAGGAATATAGAGCTAAGACCAAGGGACGATTCGGTGGTACCTAGATCAATGATCCTGCTATTAACTTTAATAAAGATAAAAAATGGCTTCTTAAAGCTAACCCTGTAGCTAAAGCGGCTGAAGATAAATATATTAGAAGAGATAGATTTTTGCTAGAAAAAAGAAGATTCTAAAGAATTTTAAAGGAAATATAATGTGAAGAAGTTGCAGGGATTAAAGGAGTTACTAAAATGCCAGAGTAGTTTGTAATGAAAACAAAACCGCCATAATGAAACGATTGAAATTCCTTGCATAAAAAATAAAATATAAGTATAGAGTCTTATGACTATTTGAATAAATATTCTTATATTCTCACAATATTTTGATGCCAGGGGTTTTGGGGTTTTGGGGTTTTGGGGTTTTGGGG